GCCTTGTTGTGTAGCCGACGCTTTGAGCAGGAAGTCAGATGGAAATTTTGATCTAGCTAGAGTGTTTTCCTCACCTTGGGCCTTTGTAAGAAGTGTGTTTATCGTCGAGGGCTTCGTTGTGATCCAAGAAATTTGGGATTTGGAGCATTTTGATTTCGGGTCATCTTCTCCTTTTGAGTTCTCCATTTGAGGTTGGGATTCTCCTTGTTCTTTTTCAATACTTCGTCTATAGATAGACATGTGGTAGTTTTTGTATTGCATGAAAATTATATCTTGTTGGATTTGTTTGAAAATCATGAAATAAACCTAGGGTTGGTTGTGTGGAGAATGGTTTTGGCTTCATTGATTGTTGTCTTGGCTAATATAAATATGAATTAGCATGTTGTAGTTAAATGAGGAAAAGCCCTAAATTATATTTTGGTTGGGTAAATTATAATGGGGGTTTGTTGACCATTGTGTGTATATCTCTTTTGTCAAAATGAGTGTGGTAAGGGTGTTAATGCCTAAGGGATTAACCATGGCTTTGGAGTTGATTTTATGGAAACAAGATTAGTGGAGTTGGTTTTGTGATAACAAAAAGGAAATGGAATCGTTTTTGTGAAAATGAGGGAAGTGTTTTCGAAATAAGTTTGAGAATTGGATTGTTGTATCTTGAGTGTTGAACACACATGTAGAAGTTGTTTCTTTAATTACCATGTTAATATTGTTGTTGGGTTTGTGATTCATGATATTTGAGTCTTTTAATAGATGTACTAACTATATGCATCTAGAGGTTTTGTCCTTGGTCATCGGTGGAGGATGACACGGTTGTGTAGAATTGTCGGGTTTGCATTTTGCCATTGATTAATTGAACATCGTATGTGATGAAGTGCTAGATACATTATATATATGTATATTTGCTCGGAAGGAGATGGTCATGTGTTCTTATGCTTTAACACATTGCTGGTGTCTTGATAGTTTATGTATATGCATTATACATGTTGGTTATGCCTTGATGTGCTGTGATTGTTGGTGTTGTGCCCCGCGCTGAGAATCAAAGGTACCATACCCCTCCAGCTAGCGCCTGGTAAACTGGCTTGCTGAGCTAATAATCGAAGGTACCATAACCCTCCAGCTAGCGCCTGGTAGAGTGAAATGGGATTGTTGTTGTTTCGTTGTAACTGAAAATATCATGGATTTTGATTGGTTACAGTTCGGAGGACCGAGTTACTCCATTGGTTGATTGTATACATGTTGGTGGGTTGTAAATTTATATTTTTACAAAGATATGCATGTATAGTTATGATAGTAATGGAAACGAACCAAAAGGTCTTTTGTCTTTTGAAAAGTGTGGAGGAGAACGTATGTTTTAAAGATTAACATGTTTGAAAAGGTACATTTGAGTATGTATAGGAAATGGAAGAGAGTATCGAGCTTAGTGTGATTACTTCCTAAGTATTTGTTAATGTTATGATAGATTGGGAACAGGGGTTAATGAAAGGAAAAAAGAAAGACAAACCACTTGTAGTGTTGAATGAAACGGTTGTTTTCGAGAAAAGTTCATACATATATATTTTGTATAAACTGTCACATTACTATTCTAGTATGAGAATGAGTGTTCATGATCATAGCTATCTGTAAGTTGTTATTGTTGAGGATCATGTTGAGTTCTCTACTGGACTATATGTTCATCCCACGTTGTTGAATCTTTTTCAGGTGTTAAGCAGGTTGAGCTGTAAGATTTGGTTCTACTTATTTACTGGCCACGGGCCCTCAGTTATGTTGGCGGAATGCCATTGTTGTAAAAGGGTTACACCCTTCTTCTTGTACCTTAAGTGATGTAAGCCCAAGGGCAATTTATTAAGTATGTTCATGTAATATTTACTTTGCATACGAATGAGAGTATTGTTAATCACTTCTACGGATTGAATGTATAAGTATATTTCCGCTTGTTATTCTTGAAATTGAATTAAGTTAATGAATTTAGTAATGACTTCGAGTAATAAAAAGTGGGGCGTGACAACTTGGTATCAGAGCGAGCCGAGTTTGAATACTTCGGGCTCGTGGGAAGTTGTTTTTACCACAGTGGGTTTACTACATATTGTGAGGACGTTGCATATAGATATCATGAAAGTTAGGACTTTTGTGTTGCATTTATGTGAGCATGGGATTCAGTCTCCTGGATAATATTCATAGCTGGTGAACTTACTTTGAGGTCCTTTTGGAAACACGCCTGATCAACGTGGTTTCTGATGGGAATTCCTTGAGAGTTCCGGGATGAGTGGCTATCTTTGTGGACTTGATTCGATTATGTGTTTATCTGTCTAAATGATTGTATGCAATAGAGATGTAAATTTTGAGACTAAGTATGTCTTGTAACTTAACGGTAGTGGAGTGTGCCTCGAAGAAGGCTATTGTGTTTTGCGCTAAGTGTGTTTTGCCTTCATGCTTAATAGGATGTCTACAAGAGGGAGTAGAGGTCGAATGAGTAGTAGGAGCGCCGGGAGAGGCATAGCAGTTCCTTTAGTACCTGCCGTTGCAGCATCGGCTGTCAGCGAGGATGTCGCACGTGAGATTGTGAGAGCAGTGCAGGACGCCCTAGCTCGCACTGAGGGCGGCAGCGGGCATGCTCTCAAACTTACTAAGGAGTTCTTTCGCTCCAGTCCACCAGAGTTTGTGGGGGAGGCTAAACCGTTGGAGGCAGAGAG